GGGAGCGGGTGAGGGAGCACGGAGGCACACAGTGAAAGACTAAGTTAACGCAACTTAACGGAAAGTAGCGAGCCAGGTAACAGAGTGCAGCGTTAAGGAATTTTTAGTTTTTCCAAAAAAAGTTTTCTGAACGTACTCGTTATGGGAGGCTGGGCCCGGTTCCCAGCAAGCGGGTGGGTGGGTAGCGAGGCACACAGCTAAGGCCAACCGAGCGGGCAGGCAGATCGAATGCAGGGCACGTCAAGGGGGCAGGCAAGTAGCAAGGCAAACCAGCACGACCAGGTTCCCACCACCATCCAAGTTAGCGCTTTGACGGAAGTCTCTCTATCACTATCAGGGAAGAGAGACACAGGCAACCCCTCGAATAGTGTTGTAAACAGGCACACTGACTATTTGGCACATCTTGAATGTGCTCGGAGTGGAAATCGAAGAGAATGTGGGAAAAGCCCACAGTTCGCACAAAGTGGACTATGGAAATCAAGAAAATACTGAGAAGAAGAGAAAAAAAGAAACATGTGTGTGTGTGTGTGTGTGTGTGTGTGTGTGTGTGTGTGTTTGTGTGTGTGTGTGTGTGTGTGTGTGATGTCGGACAGGGCTGCCGCAAGTCGCCGTGAGCTGCGTATGTTTGAACACGATAACGCCAATAAGTTCATAACAACATACCCAAAACTCAATGAACCGCACCGAACAACTTCAATTACACAACCCTTTTAAGAAAGCTAAGACTCGCGCATACATCAACCTCGTTCATTCACCTGTCCCATCATGGGCAAGGGGAGGCGTATGGACAGATGAGCAGCAAGCAGCAGGGCAAAAAGCAGTGAGGCAATGTGTTTGACAAGAAGTGGGAGCAAAGCACAAAGGTGGAGGGTGTGGGGGAGGTGGGTGGGCAGAGAAGCAACACAACGGGGGAGGCAGGTGGACAGATTAGCAGCAAACAGTAACTTAAACCACCAGTACTTCCTAAAGTCGCGCCCGTTAACGCTACGCGATTTTTCGTCCGAGTTGCACCAACTCATCAGGAGGATGAACCCTCGTCCGTATTTGATGGTTTGGGTCATGAACCCTGTGACCCTTGTTGAAGGCAGACTATCTCCAAACGGAACACAGCAGCAGGCAGCAACCCAGTGAAGCACCAGGCCGCTGCAGAGGCAACACGGCTGCTCAATGGCAAAAAATAAAAAAAGGAAAAACATGATGGCAAGCGGATGCGCAGCGCAGCAACCACGCAGTGAAGCCCAAGACAACCCCAACAATGCAGCGACACACATAGCAGCAGGCACCAACTCAGTGAAGCACCGAGTAATGCTGTTGAAGCAACCCAACTGCACAGCGACAAAGACTACCACAAGGAACGGCAAGGTAAGCGGGCGGGAAGCATGGAAACCATGCAGTGGAGCACGAGGCAACACGAACAAGCCAACCAAACTACAAGGCACACTAGCAAAGGACACGGAGGGCATGGCCAGCAGCAGACGGGCGGCAAGGCAGTGGACCAGTGAAGCATAAGGCAACACCAACGACACGGCCACACCACACAGCGAACACAGCAGCTTGCCGAGAAACACCTGCGAAGCAAGCGGAATGGGCAGCAAGGCAGCGGTGGAGCAAATACAAGGCAGTCCACACATCCAACACTGAGCAAAGCGGCGCATCACCTACTCAGATCAGGGGTGAGCTCCTCAGAGTCGGCGTTGGTTCCCACCACCCACTGAACTAGGGAGTTCACTCCGATGAATATCCGTCATCACCCGTAAGGCAGACAGACATCCAGAACTGAGGGGGCCCCCTAGAGTGCCTCAGGCACTCCAGAGTCCAGACCAGGAAAAACTTGAATAGACTATTTGGCACAGCTTAAAGGTGCTCAGTTGGGCATACAAAAAATAAGAAAAGCATCAAAGAAAGAACAAACAACAAGAGGAAGATAGACACACATAAAAGTGATTGTGTGTGTGTGTGTGTTGTGTAGGAAACTTGTTTTTTTCAACTTTTTTATTGATTCCCCCGAGGGATATCATAAGATCATCTGCACACAATGAGTTCACAAGGACGGCCTCGCTAGGAATTGCATTAAACCACCAGTACATGCCAGCCATTGGCAGCGGCCCCCTTTCGGAGGCTTCCCACCCTCTTATCTATTTTATCGAAGGCGCGCAAGCGTCCTAATTTTTAGTAGAGGCTCAAATGGACTCTCAACTTGGCTGGGGCCATGTACTGGTGCTTTAAACCACCAGTACTTGGCCCAGCTATCGGCCGCAGAAAATAAAAGAGTAGAAACGTTTCTAGTCGGATGTATATGCTCTCCTGTAGTAGCCCGTACGTTTCCGAAAACCCTGGCGCGTTAAAGGGCGCGCCTCTAGGAAGCACACTGGTGGTTTAACAGCCTTGAAGATTAGTGCTCTGCCAAGTCCTTCGCCACGCATCCATGACAAGGGACAGATGCTGGGCCGCAATAGGTTTAGCATTCTACTCTCTTCTGGATTCAGAATCTGTGTGCCCTCCTGTTCACCTGTCTCTGCTGCGGGAGGAATGGCGTGGGGAAAATTTTCTATTGTTTTTCCATTAGTGTGCGAGGATTTACACCTTACGGACATCAAAAAAAAAAAAAAAAAAAAAAAAAAAAAAAAAGGGATTTCCTGACCTACTGTCGTCCAATCCTTGAAGCAGATCCGGTAGTCTCTCCTGAACTCCTCCTGGTTGCACCCCTGGGCCGGCTTTCCATCCCATCTTACACCTGCGATCCAGCCCCCTTTCTCACTGCCCAACCAGTCCCCAGAGAATTGATGAATTGCTCGTGTTATATCTTGTGCTGAGTGAAACAGGTCAGGTCGAGTCAGTTTTTTAACTTTTTAACCTTCTGCCACTGTACCATGAGTTCTTGCTGAATATATTCAGACACCCTCAATGATTGAGAATTTATTGTCTCGGTTACCTCTTCCCAATCTATGCGGACATCCTCAACGGTATGCATGCAGCGTTTTCTCACATGTGTGTTGTCATAAACTCTCAATAATCGCTATACAGTAGTATACACTAAAAAAAAGGCACTACTGTGGCAGACTGTATCAGTGTATCGTTGAATAAGCGCATCACAGTCCCCAGATGACATATTTGGTTTAAAACTTTAAATATTAGGAGACGATTCCCCTGACAATATTTGGATTAAATAATGGGATTGTCCGCTCATCGGATTGGCTTGATCATATTTTCTGGAGCTATGTGAGATGGAAGAGTAGGGGAACTTTTGCTTGCCAATGGATTGTTCTTCGAGCAACCTATTCAACTTGGTAAATGACTGTTTTGAGTTTAAATATTGGGATTGTCCTTCGATGCTCATCGGATACGCGCATCGCAGTCCCCTGACGATTCCGCTTCCGCCCGATGGATGAAACGCTGCGTAGGGACACACCAGCATGACACTGGTTTCTTTTGCTTCATTCGATTATTTTTAACTGCCAAGTCTTCACGCATATCCAATGTCCATTGTCTCCGTGGCTTTCATCTTTTGTTTCTTTTTTTTCTTTCTCATGCCATAATTTCGTACACGTCTCTTTTGTCTATCTATCTTTCCGCTTCCCTTGATCTAAAATTCTAAATTAATGTTCTCTCTCACCTCTAACACCTCTACGGTCTTATTGCACAATACACGGAATAGCTCTGTAGCTCTTCTCCACTACACTCTTCTCTCAATTGAAATCCTTTTTATATCTTCCATGACCTACCTACCACTGCTCCTAAGGCTATACAGGGAACCCCTGCAAGCATAGCAATCAAACTCGCTGGGTGAAGTGAGGTTACACCTCTCTCGCTGGAGGGCGGTAATTGCATGTCTGCCCCCTTGCCCTACCGTCTTCCCGCGAACACAACGCACCCTTCTTTTGACTGTATCGGGCCGGAAATATAGCTTGTATACATTCAGTTTTAGGGTGCGTTATGTTCGGGGGAAGACGGTAGTGGTTTACGGTGCCAGGTCGGGACCACACCATTGGGGCCCACTCCCGTTAACGCAAGGACCGAGCAATTGCCATTAGCTGTGCCTCCCTTTCCATCCTCCCCCCCCCTCCCCCCTCCATGGAGTAACAGCACTCTCTAAGGCCAGATTGAACCCAGTCTCTCCCATACAACGCATGCATGCAACCCACTCAGCGCGACACACGCACTCACACCTGACAGTGTTGGCTGAACAGTACTCTACTAACACAGACCAGAAGGATCCAGCCAACCACCTCAGTTGGTTGGCACCAAGCATAGTGCAGGCGGCCATGGGGATCGATCCCACAAGCAGCTCCTTAATCATGTCACTTGCGCGCCTAACCAATTGAGCTAAGGCCACTGGATGTACTGGCATTAACGTACTGCCGAGTGATCGAACCACGAACCACGAGTCATCCCTGAAAGTCCCGCGGACACTTCCCGTCTCTCTATAACTCTGTCATCTCTGCAAATATTCACAGCTGCTAAATTAATGTGAACGCTCCCCCAACAACAGCCACAGGTTGTCCCCATGCTAGTCATCAAAGTCTGCATCAAAGTACATTGAGATTCAGAGAGGCAAAATGAACCGCACTGTACTACCACACCTTACATCCTATCTCAGACTGAGTCTCTGACACCTCCTCCAGGTTGCTAACAAGCACCGCGTGAATCTTTCTTTCCGTCATCTCTCTGCATGTTCACAGACGCTAACGTGAACGATCCAAATTGGATGTCCCACAGTTGGGCCGCTGGATGGATGTCTCACGCAATAGCTTTGCCACTTGCACCATGCTTTCTAATCCCGCTTGGAAATGAAAATTGATTTTTTATTTATTTATTTATTTATTATTTATTATTTTTATTTTTCATGGGTCTGCATATCTGAGTATATGTGTATGTGTGTGTGTGTGTGTGTGTGTATCTATTATTTATTATTTTTTATGGGTCTGTATATATGAGTATCTGTGTATGTGCTGTCTCTTATACACATCTAGATGTGTATAAGAGACCAGTATATTGTCAGACTTGTTTGCTGCAATTTATCATCAGTATTGTCAGATTTGTTTGCTGCAAGTTCTCATCACCACACACATTCTCCAAAACTATCCAAACAAAAAGTTAAAAACACTTCCAAGGATGTAATTTGAGTGGGTGAACACCGTCTCGACACACAGCTTCCTATTGAGGGGACCGGCGCACAACAACCCTCTGAAGGCCGCATGCGCACTGCAGCGCACAAAACAATGGACACGTGTTAATTCATCTTAATTGCACGTTTGCTAACAAAAGACACTCGCGAGTGTGTGTGAATGTGTGTTTGTCGGTTTGTCTGTGGATACACTTCCCAAATCTGACAGACATCAATAAAAAATAAAAGCACAGACAGGGTTGGAAAATACTCGACCGCAAACCCCTCCTAAAAGTACCAACCAGAGAGTAAATGTCACTGAGATCGGCACTGGGCGATAAGTGACACTTAAAACAGTTTCCAGAGGCCGCCACCTCCGAATGGCAGCTACTTCTTCCCTATAGGGTCCATGAGGACTTTTAAACGTCAAGCACCCAGCAAGGTACAGATTCACAGAATCAACAAGTCATTAATTGGTTCCACTTCCGCAGGTTCAGAATGGTTGCCATTCAGTGAATTCTTCACCGCCACCCCCCCCCCCCCCCCCCCCCCCCCCCCCCCCCCCCTCCCCCCCCCCCTCCCCCCCCCCCCCCCCCCCCCCCCCCCTCCCCCCCCAACTTTGTGCTTTTCTCCATACGACCATGCGCTCGGATCACCATCCTACGCCTCCTCACCTGATCGTGGTTCTCAACGAAGCGGACTTTTACAGCGCCTTGTGGTAAGTATGCTTCCTGCACAGAGTTTAAAAAGAAGATGGATAGGGCGACAAATGTTATTAATTGAATTTAATTCATCTTTTTGGATGGGTAAAGGCCATGGCTGCACCAGAAGCAGACCCCAACACAACCGTATGTCCAGCCAGACTGACATCTGGAAAAATCCACACGTCAAACACACACACACACACACACACACACACAAAAAAAAAAAAAAAAAAAAAAAAAAAAAAAAAAAAAAAAAAAAAAAAAAAAAAAAACAAAAAAAAAAAAAAAAAAAAAAAAAAGAAAAAAAAAACAAAAAGGGGGGGGAGTGGGGGGGGGGGGGGGGGGGGGGGGGGGGGGGGGGGAAAGGATTGGGGGTGGGGAATTATCTTCATAAATTGCGCAATTATTGTTTTCGCAAACAACGTAAAGGAATTCGTTTCAGTTTTGAAAATACGATGTGTGCCATTGTGGCCATACTACATTGCTGACTACGTCCTTTGCACGGATACCCATCTCTAACACGTTGGACTCGCTTTTCTACAGTCAAATAGCTCCAAATGCAGTCTCTGAAGATCCTGCTCTCCCTAACAACTTCAAATGTTTGAAAAAAAAATAAAAAAAAATTAAAGGGGTTTCACTATCCTGCAGATTCAACCCCATGATCTCCATCATCAACATGCTCCCACCTTTAATGATGTTGAATCAAATCTAATCATTGTGGCTGAGAAATTGAGCAAGACCCGCCTTCCGAAACAGGACGGAAAGTTAGAAACAGGACACCTGTCATACCTTTCTCGGCCGTTTGGCTAAGAATAGATAAAAATTCATAAAATGCACTGTATCTGTTCTGATCAGTTTAATATCTGATCCGTGGACCATCGGGCCACAACGATATTAACAAGGGAAAAAAAAAAGAAAAGGATAGCAAGGAATGTGCTCTGCAATGGCTACACATAGAAGCTCATCGTCACCATCACTTTCCTCATACCGGCCTCCTCCTCCTCCGCCGCCGCTGCCGCCTCGTCATCATCATCAACATCATCGTCATCAGCAGCTGCATCATCATCATCACCGGTTGCCTCGTCAACATCATCATCACCAGTTGCATTATCATCATCACAGAATCGTCAGACTCGTCACCTGCTGCATCACCATGATGACCGTTTGAATTACCGTCATCATCGAATGACATTGTATTATCAAACATCAACAATAATTCAACATCAACATCAACATCAACCATCATCCAGCTGAGGTGAGCACCGGGTGCCCACAGCCACACCCACCTGCCCCACCCGACCCACAAGGTGATTGGGTTGGGCTTGGGTCTACCTATGCCTCCTTGGGTGGGTGACGGGCGTGTGCAGCTAGTGGGCATTTCTGGGTCATGGGCGTGTCAATATTTGCTCTGGGTCACCCGTCAGGTGGGTGACAGGTGGGTGAAACTTTAGCCTGGGTCACCCAACCCATAGACGCAGGACCACCCAAGAA